GCCAGTCCGCTGCTTAACACCAACAACTTGGCCTCTCCCACGGCGACACTCGTTAGCACAATCAGCAACACGACAACGACAACGACTGCGGCTGCAGTGCATCAAGTCCAATCGCAGCTCTCGTCGGCCGATGGCGGACTGCTGCAGCCGCCGCCTAATCAGCAATTCCCCACAGAGAAGAATCACCTGAGCTACGCACAGCCTCAGTTGCAGCCGCACCTGCAGGGGCGCAATCCTTGCCAGGAGCGCAACCTGGCGCCTCAGTCACTGCGGACGCCACCTGTGCTCGTGGAGCGCAGCAAGAAGCACAGCTTTCAGCCCCAGCAGGAGCAGAGCCTGTCCTGTCTGGAGCACGACGTGAGTGTGGAAGAGCTCATTGCCAGCCGCCAGCAGAAGCAGAACTCAAGTCTGGGCCAGGGCTTTCCCAAGCAGCAAAACACAGACCAGAAGCTACGTGGATGGCATGGTGTGCGCGCCTTGATCCACAAGAAACTGTTTCGCAAGGAGCACGCCGAGGAGCTCTGCAGGCAGCTGCAGCTGGGTGAGGAGAAGTCGAATCTCGTGGCGGCTCTGAAGAGCATGGACAATGCGCAATTGGCCAGTGGCCTGAGGCGACCCAACAATCTGGACTTGAGTCCTCTGCAGCCCCTGGATAGAGCCAATCTGCTGCAGCTTCGCAGTGCGGAGCAGCGTACCGGCACACCTGCTCATATTGTGCCCCGTTCGCTGTCCACCAGCCTCATCAAGCACATTAACTGCAATGGGAACAGCAGCCAGAACCCGAATCAGAACCACAACCAAAATCACAACAACAACAACGAGAACGAGCTGCACACGCTGTCCGGCTCCCGGGCTCCAAAACGACGTCCCGGACACCTGCGCACAAACTCGCTCCTGGTGACCAGCAACAGCGGCAACCTGGCGACGCCAACAGAGCAGCAAATGCGCCGACAGCACAGCCTGGAGGTCTTCCGCGAGGTATTCAGTGGACGTGGCAGCAGTGAGCGACTGCGCGATCCCAGCGAGCGGGTCAAAACGCCCGGAGATGTGCCGCCCTCCGTGCGGAAGGCGCGCGCCTCGAAGACTCTGAGTCTATATGATGACCGCATGATGGACTCGTCGCTGTTAAATATACTCTAGCATGAGGAGGTTCTGCTGCTGGAGCTTTAAGACTATCATCGGCAGCAGAACTCCATATATAGTGAACTCATATCTTAAGTTTCATCAAGCACACATATTCAGCGATAGCCATACGGAGAGCTTACGGCTCTCGACCTGATACTTAAATCCGATATTGAGTAAAACCCACACACACACCCACACAGATATATCTAACATATATAATGTATTTTTCAAAAGCATAATCCACAAATTCTCGCTCATAGCAGATAGATCCAGAGAAATCTAGAAGTATATGTATTTTTCCACCAATCATCGTAGTGTTTAGTGCGGTAAACAACCAAAGTCCTTATAGGTTAGAACAGGATGCAACAGCATGGTACGGAGTAGAAGTATATAGAAGACTACAGCGCAGGTAAATCAGTATAGGCGACATATTTTTGACTTGAACTGGACGTTAAGCAGTCTGACTATAGTGAAACGATAGTGGTATAGAGGTTAAGTTCTCAATAGAATTGAGCTTACAGGGCGTAACTGTACCTCGGCTAGGTTTACAGTCGGTTTAGGATCAAGCAGAATGGGGCTTTCAGTGGGCCAACAGGTTAGGAAAAGTTTTTTAAAACTATATACACATGCATATATAACTAAAACAAAAACATTTAGACTTATTACACGATTATATATTAGCTGACGGCTGGGGCTGACACTGCGACAAAGAGTTTACTTAAAGGAGATGAAGACAAGTACGCAGCCCTGAGTCCAGAGCACACACACACTCGCCTATTTTTCCAAGTATTATACGAACCCATTCTGATGCATCTCTGACACCCTATAAAGAATTTCATGCGTATGCCTTTCTATTGTATTCAAACTTAGATTTCGGATTAGGTTTCCTTATCATTTACGTAGTACATGTAGACCAAAACACCCGCAGCCTTTTAATTACAAATAATATATATATAATTATATATTTAAACACTAGTCATATGATTTACATGAACTATAAATATGTTTAAGAAGCGTTTATTTAACTTCATTTATTAAGGCAAATAAACAATGAACCCAAGTGTACCAAGTGTCACTCACTTCACTTTGCATTGCAAATCACGCAGGTCGCCGTCTCAGCTCGATCAGCACCGGAGCATTGGGCTTGTTGATCAGCAGAGTTTCAATATCCAGCTCGACATCCGTTCGGCCGCGCCAGATGAGCTCATAGTTGCGCAGCAGCTGCGTGGGATGGAATTTGAATTTTAAATTTCTTCGCTATGGTATTGGAGATAGAGATAGAGATTACCCTCAAGAGCAAGACGTGCATATTCTGTTCGGCGAGGCGGCGAGCGATGCAGGCGCGCATGCCGTGTCCGAAAGGCAGGACCAGATATGGATTGAGAGCGCTGCGTTGCTGCAGCCAACGGTCGGGCTGGAAACTTAGAGGATCTGGAAAATGTTCAGGCTGGCGACACGCAATCATATTCTGGGTTACAACAGTGGTCTGCACAGGGGAAAGAGTTTAAGTATGTGTGTAGTTACTGGCATCCTCAGTTGTCTCCACTTACTCCCTTGGGCACAAAGTAGCCACTGAGCACTGTATCCTGGTTGAGGACACGGCCAAAGCCAATGGAAATGGGGTTTAGGCGCAGCGACTCCTTGAGCACTGCCCGCGTATATGTAATCTCCGTGCGCAACGCATCCGCGCTAAGCGACTCTTCAGGCTTGGGCAGCACTTTGACTGCCTCCGCGTGGAGACGCAACTGCACTTCAGGATGCCGTGCCACATGGTACAGCAGAAACGCGGAGGCATACGAGGTGGTGTCAATGCCAGCTAGCAATAAGTCAGCCGCCGTGCCCACAACATCAAGTCGGTCTAGCTGAGGGTTTTGCGCATAGCTGGCAATCAGAGAGGATCGAAATGAGCTTCCTTGCACACTTTGCTCCAGCAGCTCCAGGGCAACGCTTTCCATATACGCCTGAGCGCGCCGCAGCTTCCGGTAGCTGGGCGTTTCTATGAAGCGCCACAGCTGTAAGCCCTGGTCGGTGGGCAGGATGCAACTGTTTGTGGTCTCCGCGGCATGCATGAGCTGTGTGGAGCGGGAGGAGGCATGTTGCTCCTCGGGCGAAAATGATTGGATGCGTGCTCCAAAGGTCAACAGGCAGGTGACTAATGATGGCAACAAATGGAATGGAATGGAATTGATTATTGAAATCGACTATAGACAACTGTGCAATTCGCTCACGTTCCAAGTTCAGTCTGGTTAGCTTGAGTAGCATGTCGATGGCTGCACCAGCTTTAGCCGACTGTTCCAGAAAGGTTAAGAACTCTTGTGTCACTGCATCCACCTCACGCACGAAGTTGCGCACACTTCTCGGCGCACTCAGCTCCTTCTGCAGCTGGGAGCGAAGGCGCCACCAGTCGGGCCCGTTTGTGGGCAGCAGGCCCGTGGTCTTGTAGAGATGCGGTCGCTGCTTGCGGTACTGGGCCAGGGCCAGGTGGCTGCGTCGCTGCGGAAAGTCGCGCTCGTTGAGCAGTGTCGCAATGTCTTTGGGATCGTACAGCCAAACAATATCCTGACCCGGCACCATTGTCTCTCTTACAATAGATCCGTATTTCTCGTACTTATCCTGGCCAGCCTTGTGCAACTGCAGCCAGGAGTAGGCACCAATGCCAGGCATGTAGTTGTACAGATTACCCAGTCCAAACGGACCTCGTGGCCCCGGCATCGCCTCAAATGGTTTGGCGAACGTGCATTGCCGCGAGTTGCAGCAGATTTTCAATAACTTCGTCAGCATTCTGGTCCGCTTAGCTGCGTTCGTCGCCGATTTCCGAAAATAACTGAAACAGACTTTTACGATGGGTAAGCATTTAGGGTTTTCGTTTCTTGCGCCTTCTTTTGTTTCACTTGTCACTGAAAAGGTAACAGAATTCAATAATCTGCTCGCTTTAGAGTCGTGTTTACCTGTGATGCAGACTTCTACCATTCGTTTACCTGACGAGAGAGGTAGAGAGAGAGAGAAAGGGAGAGAGAGCGTGCATCAGCTGTGCTCTCAAGACTGTTTCAAAGTTTCCATTATTCGTAAAGAAGTGCTGTATACCTTTAGGTGCTATCTAATAAAACATTTCCATATGATCTATCCCTGTCCACTTGACAGAATACGCGCATTCATTCCCCAAACCTTCATGCGTACAATTTGCCTGTCCAGCCGAAGGGCCCAGTATAATATATATACATATATATATAGCCTGCAGCTTTACAAGTAAGAAACTGAATATTTTAATGCACGACTTACTAAGAATTGCAAATTACCTAAAATTATATAAAATCTACTCAGCTACATCTACAAAATAAATCTACATTAAAAACTATTGAGCTAGAGGGTAGATCAATTAAAATAAAAAATGTAATACAAATTCGTATATTCAGTAAAGCAAACACTATCTTAAGATTAGATAAGTATGGATAAAGGCTCTACAGGGATATTTCGCATTATAATTTGTCATTTTTTACCTCGAAAATGTATTACATAAAATCAGAGGCCCAATTGTTAAGAAAAAATATAAGGACATACAAAAATTTATATTTAATGTAATATAAAAAAATTAATAGAATTAATCACAATTGATGATTTATTAGCAATGAACTGCAAAAAATAATAAAGTTTAGACTAAGAAAAAACTTTTTTCACAAATCTGAATGAATGAAAATATTACAATCCCAACTTATATACATATAGTCCCGTTAAGAAAATTTAGTTTATACTGCTTTATAACAATTATTAATATTAATAATTTGAAAATAATAAATTATGTTTTGCATTATTTATATTTAAAATCACTTAATATGTAGTTTGTCTCGATGTTAAAGCACCTAAATTTTAATCTATAATTCAAAACTAATCTTCTTTAATGTCCTCCTGTGGCTTGGCTTTTACCTTTTTTTCTTTAATGCGTCTCACCTTCTTCTTCTTACTTATGCTTTGCCAGATCAGAAAGATGAAATTGCCAAAGAATAAGAGCATAAAAAGTAGAGGTATAATCAAAACTTCCATTGATTTTCTAATATGGTAAAACATTCCAGAAGACTTGGAGACCGACAAGTGCTTAAAGAGGTTCGGCTGGCTGACCAATTGCTCCGCATACCAAACGGCCACATCCAAAGGCTTCAGTTGGCGAGTGCGATAATTGAGCTGTGCCTGCTGCATTGATTCCAAATAGGAATCGTCTCGTATCAATTGCTTCAGAGCTGCGGAGAAGCTGTTTACTGCAAAGTCTCCGGGTGAAACTCGAACTCCCAAATGACGTTCCTCCAAGCGCTGGGCGTTCTGTGGTGCAAAGAAGTAAGGGTCTGAAATATATGTAAATGAATCTCAGCTTACATTGATCTGATCCATTAGCAGGGGCAACACAATAATTGGAACTGCATTGTAGACAGCTTCCTGGACACTGAAGCTATCTCCATGACTGAGAAAGGCTTTTACATTGGAGTGAGCTGAAATCGAAAACAAGAATTGAGACAGGATTCGAGTTGAAAGAGGCTCTCAGCTAACCCAAAATATTTTGCTGCATGTTTTCAACCACGTTGATGGCTCTCAGATTGTAAAAGTTTTCGGACAACTGAAGCTCCTTCACATTGTTCACATTCCAGAGGAAGCCGAACTGGCCGTACTCCCTGATCATAGCCTCAATCGCCTGGATGCCCAAGCCATACATCAGCTCAATATGGGGCAGATTTATGTAAATGATTCCCTCGGAAAAGCGATCTATAAAGTCCTGAGTGCTGAAGGGCAATGGCTCCGACTCGGAGAGAATGTGCAAGCCGCCCACCTCTATAACGTTCGGTGGCATGTTCTGCACATAGTCCAGAGCCGGATGCGTGTTGAGCAGCACTACCTGCACCTCGGGAGTGAAGTACCCGTTGCCCAGCATGCCGTTTAAGACGGGCTGGACCACAGACCATTGAATGCTGTCGGGAAAGGGAAGGATTGAGAATGGGTTATCTTTCCCTAGTCTGCAGTCATTTAGTTTCATAGTTACAATTGCTCAGCCAGGTACATGGCATGGTTCTGTAGCCGGTGCCAGTACTTCATTTCGAGTGGCAGTCGACTGGCGAAGTGCGGAATCGTTGCAGCACTGATGGTGTTCTCAGCTTCAACTAACTGAAGTAGGTCTGTCGTCAGCTTGCCACTGCTGAGGGCCATGACGGGCACAGATCGCAGCTGGGGCAGCCTCGATAGTAGACATTCAATGGAATAGGTGGCATCATAGATAATCAAGTCAAAATTGCCCTCCGGAATGTTGAAGTTCTTGAAGAAGAGTGTCTCAACCGTGAAGCGACAGGTGCCAAGCAGCGCCTCATACCAGATGAGCAGTTGCTTAATATCCCAATAGTTCTGGTAGTGACCCGTCGCGTCCACATAGTGCTTCCGAACCACGTCGTACTCGTTGCTCACCGGAACGCCGGTTATGCCCGGTATGTCTGCATCTATATGTGAGCCAATCACTGTCAGCTGGTGACCGCGCTCAGCGAGTGCCTGGAAGAAGGGCAGCACCCAGCCAGGATTATTGTGCGCCGGCGTGCCGACAATGCACAAAATCCGAGCAGCATTCGACTGCTGCCAGTTGCTGCAAGTCAGCAGCAGCAGCAGCGGTAAAAGAGCCCCGATAGATTTCATGTTACCAAACGAGTGCACCGCAACAACGCGACTGATTCACCAATGGTCCCGCCGGTTGAGATAAGATAACGATAATCAATACCAAACGATAAGAGTTTTGTTTTGTTTATTTTTTTTCTCTCTGGAGAGCAGTGTACGCTCAAAACAAATACGAAATGCTATATAGAGCGTATGTTCAGACTGAACATGACAAACTTGGCAAAGTTTGTTACGTTTAAATTTTGTTGATCTCTCTTACTATTTTCTAAATACTCAATATGTAGCGTATACATGTATATATAATTAATCAACCAATAATCAAAAGCTCTGAAACTGATTAACGATATTAACATGATTATTATTAGATAAAATTTTCCATAAAATAGAACAACGATCGGAGAAGCCCGTCTAAAAGAGTAAAAATTCTATTCTAATCTAAAGAGCAGCAGCCGGACCGTGTAAGAGTAGAATACACGGTCCGGCTGCTGCTCTTGGGCTACTCTTTAGACCTTTACTACGGCGTATTAATCGTAGAATAAATGTTGTAAAAAGCGATAAGCTCAACTCTGTAGTTGTCGCTGTTTTAGCTTACGAGATTGCAGTGCCAACTCGGACGAACAGACGAGCATCTTCCCGATCACTAGCAAATGTACTTTTTGGAGTCTTGCATGTATCTTTCTACCTGAACGCAAGTTTGACTTTTCTTATAGTAATGATAATAAAGATTTTCCCGATATGTCAGTTAGGGGCGTGGCAAATCGGAAAATGTATTTTCCAGCAAGTCAGAAAAATTGTTACTTGAACAGCTAGATAGCTGACTTGGGAATGTGTATTCGCGTTAGCGACAAGGTTTTAAAATCAGGACTCCATTGTTTCATATTTAGCGAGTGTTACTGTTATAATCGTTTAAAGGTATACATATATATAGATTTGTAAATGTACAATTTTGAGTATTTTTATATTGATATTTCTTCAAAAAAGTCTCCTTTTTGTTGCGTGCGTTTTTTGTAAGAAAAAAATATATCCATCTATTATATATTTATATTCAATATTCATCTATAAAATATTTGTAATTACTAATTATGCAGGTAACGACTTTACCGTGAATGAGTATTCTACAGTCGGTAGTGCTCGACTACAACGTTATCTTTTATTTTTCAACAGATTCAAAAGTTCAATAATATAAAGATGTATGCAATGAAACAAACAAGTAACTCAAAGCTGATTTGCTTAGATTGTGATGAGCAAAGAGAGAAATTGCTTTTACAAATAAAACTATTTCTTATCAGCTCTCAGTGGGTATCGCTATAAGAGCAGAAAACTCGCTTGGCAGCGGCTCAGTAGCCGTCAAGATGTATTCCGACAAATGTCTCGGCATTCGCGTCGTGGTTGTGATTCAGCTGCTTGGCTGGGCAGCTGGTGCGAATATATTGGCGTTGATGGGCATGACGTCCCACAGTCATCACATATGGCAAGTGGTTGGTGCGGCTATGGAGCATGGCTGGGAGACTAACGGAACATTCTCGATTGCAGGAATAGCGTATTGCTGTATGAGCTGGCTGAGCGGGGTCACAATTTGACCATACTGTCTGTGGACTTGCCACGGCCCGATGATAAGGTCCCAGCCAATGTCAGCTATATCCACCTGGAGCGTGCCTACGACTTTTACGTTGCGGGAGGCGCCGACAATTTTGATATTAACGCGCTTATTGGCATTGGCGACTATGTGACAATTCCGATTCATTATGATTACGGCCTGAAAACTGCCGAAAGCATAGCCGCATCGCAGGGCTTGCAGCAGCTGCTGAACTATCCGCCGGACTTTGAGTTTGATGTGATTATCAACGACTATACGCTGGGACCCTATCTGCTGGGTTTCGCGCACAGATTCCGCTACCCGCCCATTATTGGCATAACAGCCTTTCACAACGCGCCTATAACCCTGGACTTCATGTCGAATCACTACTTTCCCGCACTTGTACCCTACTTCTCGACTCTGTATAACGCGAGCATGAGCTTCTTTCAGCGTTTGGATAATACGCTTATATTTGCCGCGGACACAATGTGAGCATAAAATCAGTTTCATAGACGACTCAAGTAATTTATCAAGTGCTCCTAATTAGCTATCGCCGGTGGTTCTACAATCCCCAACTGGACGAAATAATGCGACCTGTTTTTGGGCCCGATATGCCGTCCCTTTCGGACTTGGCGAAGCTTACAAAGGTTTCACTGGTCAATTCCCACCCCGCCACCAACTATGTGGAGGCTTTGCCACCTAACGTTGTCGAGGTGGGTGGCATGCAGGGCAGGCCGGGGCAGCCCCTGCCCAAGGAACTAGATGAGTTTATGAGAAGAGGCAAGCGCGGAGCCATATTGTTTTCGTTGGGCACCAATATGCTGCCACAGAATGTGGACAGGGAGACTAAACTGAAAATTGTGGAGGCCTTCAGGCAATTGCCCGACTATAATTTCTTATGGAAGTTCGACAAGGAGTATTTGAGGGATGTGCAGATGCCGGACAATGTATTGGTGAAGGATTTTCTGCCTCAAACTGATGTCTTGGGTAAGTTCGATCTGGCAAGTGAGTTGAGATGTTGATCATGATAGTTTCCAGCTCATACATCTTTGGTGTTGTTCATCTCGCACTGTGGGGGATTAAGCACCCAGGAAGCGACCTGGCACGGTGTGCCCATTGTCGGGATTCCTTTATTCCTCGATCAGTATCGGGTAAGTTCATTTCGTATTTGGAAAGTGACTGCAGCAATATATTCTTCCGTAGAACCTCATCCAAACAATTTCCGCCGGAGCCGCTGTTCAGGTCAACTACTTGAATATGACCACTGTCCAGCTGGTTTCAGCCATTCGAGAGGTTGCCGAGAACAAGAAATACGCGCAGGCCATGAAGCTGCGCTCTCGACGCTTACGCGATAATCCTGTGCCACCCTTGGAGCTGGCCGTGTGGTGGGTGGAGTATCTGCTACGCCATCCCGACCCCGCTCACTTGCACTCGACAGCCAAGGAGCTGAACTACTTCCAGTCGCATTCCTTGGATGTGATCGCATTTCTGGCACTGATTCCCATGTTGCTCACATATGTGCTGCAGAGCCTATGTAGGAGGAGCAGGAGGACGCGAAGGCGAAGGCCCAGCAGGAGGCATCCCAAGCACGATTGAGTTACCAAACCTTTTTTGCATTATGAAATATTTTATTTACTTTTGTAAAACTAAATATTATACATGGAATGTTTGTTATTGCTATAATTTCTAGGCAACGGGTGCTCATTATTTCTAAAAAAAAAAATTCGAATTACAAAAACAAATAAGAAACACATATATATATATTTGTATAATTTTGGTTCTGAGATTTGCATAATGAACAGCTATTGGCAAAGAAATTACTCACTGATTCTAAATCTAGGTGCGCTTATATACGTGTGTGTTTGTGTGTGTGTGGGTGTAGTAGTGTTTAGTCTGTTTTGTGTTTATTTACGCGTTGTTAATATGGCAAGATTAATACATGAAACTATTTTCACTTACCGCACCGACAGCGAGTGCCCCTAATGAAGCTTTAGTCTAACTAACCCTAGGCGCGAATTGCACATTGGATTATTCATAAATTAAGTTAAATATATAAGTATTAAATTAATTAACACAGATATTCGTTTTGTTTGTTAAGTGGTTCGAGTTCTGGGCGCAGGGTTAAAGCGTGGTTATATACAGGTTAGCAGGCGATAGGTATTCACTACCTACAGTATCTAAAAATGCTTTCATTTAGTGAACACCCCTCATACGAAGCGCATTCCCTAACTTGAGGCTGTTCGGTTAGTTTTGGTGCTTAGTGAGGATACAGGGCACAGTTCGTGGATTATCGGATTATCGATTAATTGCTATGACGCACTTCACTCGTTCACCAGCTGCGCTGGGCCGGGATCGTCGTACGGCGCTCCATTAGCACCCACATACTGATTGTTGTTGCGGTGCACGAAGCCACGCCCGGGAGCTGCATTGTAGTAGACGACACGGCGTATGCCGAACGGATCCACATAGCCGTAGCTGCCCGCTCGCTTGCCATCCACCTGGGCCTCCTCGTGGTACTGCTTGGGCAGCACATAGCGGAACCCATTGCGAGTCACGCTGACCCCATCGTAGTCCGAGGCATCCAGATTGTTGCTGTGCAGCGGACGCAGTCGGCGGCGGTACGCCCGATCCGGCAACGGTGGCAGCAAAGGCGAATCCAATGCATTCACATCCAGCGGTAAATTGGACGTGTATAAGCCATACGAGCTGCGCAGGGGCGTGGCTGTAGGCGCGTAATGATAGCCGGCATCGCCTAGGGAGGGCGGCGCAACGAAGGGGGCGGGCGTTGAATAAGCAAACTGATCCTGCGCAGCAATGGGCGCGGGAGTCGTCGACACAATGCCAACGGCTGTTGGGCGTGGTCGCACTCTCCTGCGGTGCGCGCTCAGAGGCGGCAGCATGGACAGCTCTGGCGCCAAGAAAGCCGGCGAGGACACGGCAGGACGCGGCGTCGTTGAAGCAATCACGGCAGCAAAGCGACCCGGCGCAAAGCCATGATCCGCCTCCTCGTCGTACACGTTGATCGCATTGATCTCATCGATGGGCTCCGCGTTGGGCTGAATGTGCACATTGCCGCCCAAGAGATGATCGCGCGCTCTTGGCAGCTCGTCCGGATAGTGATCGAATCCTAGCTGCGTTTGCGGCTCTATCTTGGCTGCCTGCTCGGGCGGCAGATAGTTGAGTTTGCCCACGCCAGACTCCAGATTTGCAGTGGCCAAGTTTGGTGAGCTATACAATGCTGGCGGGGGCGTGGTAGTTGTGGTTGTGCTGCTATACCCATAGCCATGTTTGCGATAGCCGCCGGCTACGCTGTTGCCGCCCACATTCCCATCGACCAGAACGCCAGATTGAGCTGGCGCTGCTTTCGTGGACTTGATTGCCTCCTGTAAAGCACCGACATATATGAGCTGCTGAATGCTGATGCTATGCCACTCAATAGTTACCTCAATGCCTCTGTTTTGACCCACGAAAATTGTCTTGGATTTTAGTATGCGGTATCCCTCTTTGTCCGCGATGTAGTCCTTCTGCCGCAAAAAGCCGGCAGCGTCGATCCAGGCCTCTGTGCCTGCAAAATAGATTTGTGAATTCTCAAATTGTTGTCTACACTGTGATTTTTGGTGACTAAACCAAAAGCAGTTCAAGTGCTGCTTCATCTAAATGGATTTTTGATGAGCAAATATTGATTTAGCTAAGCAATAGCTAGTCGTTAATAACGGTTTCTCATTGTGGACTTACCGATGACTGTGCCGTCCTGCAGCCGTTTCTCCTTGCGGAACTGCCCGTTGTCGGTCTGAAAGCGGAAGTATCTCTCAGGTCCCTCATCCGTTTGAATGTGGTACTGACTTTGACTCGCGTCGCCCCACGAGGCGGCTGCCAGCGCTACCAATGCCAGCTGCAATGAGAAAATTGTCGACAAGGGGTCAGTAACATGCCTCATGCCACTTGCCACTTGCTACTTGCTACTTGCTACTTGGCACTAGTTATTTGCCAGTTGAGACCGGTGTTTTGACTAATGGCATATGGCATATGGCAATAGCCGTACATCCGCTGCTAATGGCAGCTAGAAATGCATGTGGATCTGGCCAAACATGGCCAACTGCAACAGATGTTGGATAAGTGCCGACAGGTAGCTGTTGCCTGTTGGCAGTTGGCAGTTGGCGTTGCTTAACTTGGCCGAAAACGTGCAGTCATCGATGCACTTCAAATTCAGAGTCAAGGTGACATGATGAGATGCAACCGCAGCGGTTGCACAATGCAGCGCAGCGCAGTGCAGCGCAGCAACAAGTTGCGAACGGAAATGTGGCATGTGAAAGTGTATGCTTAGCAATTGCAACGACGCGCTGCGAACCGGTTGGAGCGCACACGTTGCGTATACGCCATGTGGCTCAGAAATAATAATGAGCTGTAATTCAGGGACAAGGTTGACGCTGGCGCGATTGGCTCATTGAGATTCTTTTGCCAATTATTCTAATGCCGCCGCCACCCGCACGTAAACAGCTCGAACGCTTCAATTACCTAAGCATGCAGTCATAAACCACTCGCAACTGCCACTCGACGCGATGGGGGCAGCGACCGGGTGCGTCGCCACGGCGGCTACGTGGGCGTCCGCCACTGCGAATTGTGGTTTGTGTGCTTCAATTAAGCTAATGATTTCGTAGCTGACATTTTTATTATAATTTTGTGCTTGTTACCCGATTCGTGTTCACTGCTCGCATTCGCTTGTTGCTGTATTTATTTTGCTTTAATTAATTATTGGCTAAAAAATTATTCAGTTTTATTTTCAATGTGTCGCCTTATGACAGGCTTCGTTTTTGCTTTGTATTTACTCGTATTGTAGGCTGTAAATATGAATAAATCTTTAGAGCGAAAATAAAGTTCAAATCTGGAATCACTGAACTAAACTCGAACCGAGGCTGATATTTGTTTTCGCATTCTTTCACTAATTATTGGACTTTGTTCATAATTGCTTTGGCTTTGTGGCATAATTTATAAATATTTGTAATTAATTCACTTGAATCAGCGCTTTGATTAATTAGATTTATGACTAACAGCAGCCATCAATCATGATCGCAATTGCATCAGCTAGTCCCACAGCGAGTGAGATATATTAAACAAATATGAATATGTGCTTCCCTCCGAAATATTTGACCACTTTCTAAAGATCGAAAACAAAAGTCCCCATTCCCATACAATTACAATCAATTTAAGTATTTGCGCATAAGCGTCATAGTCAATCGACGGCGATTTACACAGCTAGAAATTTATTTCATTTGCTAACGCAACGTAATAAATTGTGCAAAAATTATTATGGCCATTTCCGTTATGGGGCTAAAGTCGGTGGAGTCGCTGTGGCTGCGGCTGTGACTGTGTATGTGTGTGTGTGTGATTGTGGCAACAACGAGAGTAAAAGTGGCAGCAGCCACAGACCAACCACTTCTGCAAACTGCGAGAGCAAAGATCTGGAAGAAATTTAGTCCAAATTGGCGGCGCAGTTACTCAACCGGTTGGCGTTGGAGTTGGCTCCAGCCACAGCCTGGCAGCATGTGTTTATGTTGTTATGGTTGTTGCCGGCTGCTTGCCGCCTGATGCTGGCGCTGGTTACGTGAGAATCACAAGAGTCAAGCGACTCCTTTTGGGCGCGAGCGCGCCTTAAAATGGGAAAAAGAAAAAAGAAAAACAAAAACAACAACCGAAAAATCAAAAGTGGAAAATCACGTTTTTCTTGGCGCGAGATTTAAGTGCCGCTTTTTGTTTACGTTATTGTTATGGCTGCAGGTCGAAATGGTAACAAAGCCCGTTAACTGTTGCGCAACAATTTTTGTTTTGTTTTTTTATTGTTATTATTTTTTTTGGCATTACTTACGCAGCATTCGCCCAATTGTCTGCATGACCCCAAAAATTCTCAAAGCTGCAATTGGCGAGAGTCACAGAGATCTGATCAACAATCTCTTTGAATCCGACTGCCCGCGGCCCTCGGGTGTTGCCTTGCCCCACAGTGACCTTCGCTGTCGTAGTTTCTTAATTAAAAATCGCTTCAATTATACTTGTGCGAGCGCTCCAAATATATTAGATTCAGAAACAAAAACGCGAATAAAACTATGATAAATGATCAGGGAATAAATGGCGCAGCTTGCGATTTCGTGTATGCCAGACAAATCTATTAAAGCAACGCTCTAATGAATGAAGCACACCCATCGCGATGACGGCGAGCCTTTCATATAGGCTAAGCGGCGTGTTAACCTTTCGCTACATATGGCCAGAAACGCACACACATCTCATCTATATGCTTATTTGTGCATGTAGCCAACCCACACAGTCGGCTGGAATCGACTGATAAACATATGTATAATCATGTTAATCACAATTTGTTGCCGCTTCCGTCTTGAAATATGCCAAAACACTGGCATCAAAGCCAAGCAAACGGGTAAGTGTAGCGCATGCAAAATAGCAAAAACAAAAAAAACAAGTAAGAACGTTGCAGTCGGGCGATACCGATTSCAGAAGMSTCATTCASAGCCCAAACGCTGTCAACCAGAGTATATAGTGCAATTTTCAAGTCTAGTGCGCAACAAAAAACAGGGCATGATCCCATTTAAAATGGGAAAATCATCGATAGCTATTGCTATGATCATTGCATAATTGCATTCAAATTACATGCATATGTATATAATTTATACAATTTTGACTTTTAATAATATACATGTATTTATATCCATATATTGGATACCGGCTTCAAGCTAGCAGCAGATCAGCGCGATTTTACTATACATGTGCACACACTCATCNTATAAATCGGAGATATACACGAGTATGTGTTCCAAATTTCAAGTCTCTAGCTTCAATAGCGCCGAAATAGATTGCGTTCATACGGACAGACGGACAGACGGACAGACGGACAGACGGACGGACAGCAAGACGGACATTGCACAAAACCAATATACTCATTTCACTTTCGTGAATGAGTCTAAAAAGTGAAGAGAAAACAAAAGACTTAAGACACAAACCTGTAGCATAGCATGCAAAACTACAGTTGCTATCGTTGTTGTTGTCGGTCTTTTATTTTGTGGGTTTTGTGGTTTTTGTGGGCCTTGTGGGTTTGTAGGCGTATGGGAATCAGTTGGTTTGTCCGCTGCTTAGTCACACACTGATTAAAACCACCATATGTTTATCTAGAAACTTGTGCGATTTGAGGGATTGCTCTCACTTGCAATTGCTTTCGGCGAGCCGATGAAGCAAATAATAATTTTTTAATTGCTCAAATTCCACAAAAACAATGCCCCGAACAGCAACACGACGAACATGAAATTCTATATTAATATGCGGCGATTAATGAAACATTTCATTGGGCACAATCGATTCCGAGAATGTGCGCCATAGACACGACGACTGAGTCAGGGACTCTGCTCGCCTATTGAATTACACATTTCGACGAGACGCCCACACCCACACACACAGCAGAGGGTCTCTGAGTATGTGAGCTACTGACAGACCGCCGTCAAATTTCGAGCATAGTCCAAATTACTGTGGGAGCACCAACAACAACAACAACAGCAACAGCAACAGTAACAACAACAGCCGCTATAAAATTGTATTAAATTTCGTTAGTTGATTGACTTTTGGTAGCTGCAAAAAAATTGATTGCCTTTTTTGGTCAACGCTTTTGGTGCTGCCATTTCCTGTTTGTTTCTCGAGGCATTAACAACAATTTGCTAGAACTTCAATTGAAAATATGATTTGGCAAGTCAAATAGCAAAGAAGTAGAAGAAGAAGAAGAAGAATTAAATGCTGGCACTGTGTGTTGGTGTTTGATTTGTTGGCACATGTTTTCAAAACAGGCAATGCAAACCACGCGCTTCTGAGCCAGCGTCCGCCCGTCTTGTTGGTGTTATTCAAAACTGACCTGCATCGCAGTAGCTGCTGCATTCGGGGCAACCCAGTTTCGACATTTGCATCTGGCAGCTGCTGCTACTCGGCTACACATTTGCTAATTTCTATAAATAAAATCACATCCGAGGCGCTCAGCTGCGGCGTGCTCTGCCAATGCACAAATACTCTATGGAAAAACTCGTGTTTAAGTGCCTGGCAGACAATTGAGTCTGTGGAGATGTTGCCTTATTTATTGACAAAGGTCTTAGCAGCTTTTTAGAAGTGTTTGCCAGTCAGCTGTGCATTCAAACTTTTCGAATACTATGGCAAAATAATATCAGTATAAAGTCTCTATCTATTCGCAGTTAGCTTGAGTCCATAAGTCATATAAGGGCATACGAATTTCGTCATGCCATAAGTGATAAATTTCTTTGAGAGTAGTTTTCGCTGTAGTTGTTTGTTACTGCGCGACTGCCATAGATCATTTAACAAATTGCGAACAAAACTGCATTCAGACAGTTTGACTTGCATTTGTCGCTGTCGTTGGCTCCGGCTCTGGCATTGCATCATATTTGTGCCATTTTTGTGGAGCTTGCCAAATGCGTAATACCTGTGGCATGCACGAGGTGTGAAATGGCGCTTACGTCTAATGCTCGGTAAATATACAGTATGATGATGATRTGATGAGTGAAATGCGATTGTTCCACTCTGAATGCGAACGCTCACATCCACCCACAGTGCAGCCTCGCTGCGCGTGTCAGTCACGCAACAAGAGAATAGAATATGGCACTTTTTGTATCGCACAGTAATTATGCAATTGGCATGCAGGCATGCCAGTCGGCTGTTAAACAAATGTACATGCATCATAAATAATAAGCCATAAACATTATTATGACTTTTATGCGTTTTCGTCACGGCGACAAGGTCAGCTACGTCACTCAAAAGAATCAGTTGGGCAGCTCACGTAGGCGGTTAAGTTTTTCACGCGCTTCCGAAACTTTTCACTTTTTGTGGTGTGTTGTTGTT